GTGAAAAGTTGTTTTTTTTTGCAGCGTTTTGTAACCAGTATCGGAGGAAGCGAGATGGAGGTGGTTCGCCATTGAGCTAGTAGTAGACTGTGAACAGTTTTCTCGAATGATCGGGTGTGTGTGTGTGCATGGATCCCAGCACGGATACTGTCTGAGTGGCAGTGAAGAAGTGGCTCTTGGAGTTGATTGGGAAATGAAAGGATCGCGAACGTGTTGACGGATGATGAAGTTGCAGTTGGAACAGTTTTCTTTCACCTAGGTGTTGGAAAAAGATGTGAAAGGTTTCAAAGGCCCACCCACAGTCTCAAGCTATGAATGGTCCAGAAAGATCGGTGAGAGCCATCAAAGCATCGATTTTTTGTGCGTGTCGGAAGAACTCAGAGAGAAGGGGTTGGAAATCTGTGATTGTGAAAGGCGGTTGCAGTCGCACTGGAATTTGTTTGTTTCATGATGAACATGCATGCTTCCGTCATGGTTTGGCTAGTAAGAAGATGTCATGGAGCTGTTGTGCTTTGTGAGCTATCCAGTTCGTTGCAGTCGGAGATAAGACCCAGATTTCTGGATGCGTACTTTCTTGGTTGTTGGAGTTGTGAGAGAGGATTGGTCCTGCCCTTAAGGTGAAACCGCTCCGGATGGCAGTGTTCCCCACTGCCAGCGGACCGCTGGACTTCAACCGCCAGAAAAAATGTCAAACAATATATGCCAGACAGACTGTCAGAAAAAATGTCAGCAGATATGCCAGATAGAGTGCCCGAATGAATGTCAGAAGAGATGCCAAAAAAAATGGCAGAAGAACATCAGATATGCCAGAAAGAATGTCGGAAAAAACGTCAGAAGATATGCCAGAAAAAAATTGCAGAAAGACGGCAACTGCCAGCTCCCGACGGCAGTGTTCCGGACGGCAGTGTTCCTCGCGGGACCCCAAACACCAGTTCCGGACGGCAGTGTTCCCTCAACCGCCAGTGACTTCATCCGCGAGTCAGAAGATATGCTAGATAGAACGCCAGAAAGAGTGTCAGTTCTTGAACTGTTTTATGCATTTTTGAGTGCTTTAAACTCCATACCATACCTTTGGTATCTCGCATGGGAATCGCTTGTTGCAGGCCTGTTTCATAGCCTTTTGAACTCTACTTGTTTGGCTCAAGTGCACGGAAAAAGAGTGCGATGCGTTTCCTCTGCTTTTGAGTCGTGTGTGTACATAAACGTTTGGAGTCTACTCACTTAAGGTGGTAGGTTTTTCACGCACATGCGTCACATGCACCACATTCGCCATGCCAACCTGATTTTCGACCAAGACGAGGGTCGTCTCAGACGCTTCTGACCTGAGGTGGCCTCAGTCCAGATCCTTTTCGGCTTTTAGAGAGCGATGTTCTGTGTACGACCTGGCTGACTGCACATCATGTGTAACTTGCAAGAATTGTGGAGTGCCCACCCACACCATGGAGGTCATTCGGAGGGTGGATGCCATCTATCCACAAGGAACCAGCGTGTGTTGAGCGTTTTGGAGAATGGAGGGATGATTGGTGCTGTGAGTAGAGTAACACTGGTGTTTTTTGGCAAACAACGGAAATGGAATCCTGTGCTGCACGGTTGGTGATTCAGCCAAACTGCATTTTGGCTCCAGTTGAGCGCTTGAGCCCATTAGCAGTAAGCCACGATGGGTGCCACCATGAGTTGCCAGGACGAAGGGCGAATGCAATGGGTAGTGGCCATGGGGCCATTTGTGAGGCCGGGGCAGAGGGCTGATTGGGGAGAAATGCTTTTGCCTATGCAATTTTTTTACTGTTTGGGGGAGAAGGGTTTCAGTGTCTGGTCTCCTTACACGCGGGACGATGTGTTTGATCGCCATATGGGCCATGATCATGCACTCAAAGGAAAACATGTGCGACCGGTTCCGGTCCAGCCGGAATTTTCGTTGACCGCAAGGGCCGGTCAACCTTGGCTGAAATTGGCAGGCCTTGCGGTGGAGAAGTTGTGGGTTGAACCATGCCAAGCATTTTTGACCAGTTGTGAAACCTTTAGAGGCCCTAAAATTGGATGAATTGTCTCAGGGGGCGAACACATGTTGTGGGTCCATCGGTTGTAAGTCTTTCGACCATTCACAACACGTATATAGTAAAGTTTCAACTGGCCTGGCGGCCATCCATAGTCCGGATGATTCCACGCATGGGGAGGGGCTGCCAAGCTGCCAAGCTGCCAAGTGTGAAGATTGCCACACCCAAATCTCTTTTTCACATACGCTGCCACCGGGCCGAACTGGCACTGGCACTTGACGGCGGGTCCGCCAGGCGAGGCCGGCCAGGCTCGTCACAGGCCGGCCAGGCCGAGTTCGGCCGAACTCGGTTTGACGTGGAGTTGACGACCCGACCCCGGGAACCGCGGTCCGACAGGGACGGTAGAAGCCTTCAAGGTTCGGAGCCAAGGTGCAGTCGTTCCTTTGTCTTTTTCAGAGATGGTTGGCGTCCAGGTTAGGAGCCGATCTTCCCCAAGGCATTTCCCAAGGCATTTCTCCGCACTCGCACGGAGCCGTCCGTTGGGACGTTTTGAACTCCAGGAGCTTGGCGGATCAGGCGCCCCGACGATGGCGGAATGCAGGGAGGGTTCCTGTCAGATTGCGAGGTCAGCTGCTAGGGCATGAGCCGGGCATGATTCATTTTGAAGCTGATTGCAACTGAAAGCTGCATGGATTCATGGATCGGAGCTTTTTGTCTGTGACCCTTTGGGCTCAGATTCGCAGTGTCCGCCCACCCGTCGTCGGGCCGCGGCACCCGGCCCACCGCCATGAGTCGGGGGGCCCAGATCGAGTTCCGTCGGCGAGTGAGATGGTTCGGTGCGGGTTTGACCGAGAACCTCGGTTCAACAGGGACAAACGGCTTCCCCCCAGTCTGAACACACATGAACACCACACGAACATACACGAACGCAAGGAAGCACGGAATGCCTAAGCCCAAACCTCGGATCAAAAAGAGGCCCGAGCAATTCAGGTTCAAACATGCATGTTTACTGACCTCGGATATGTAAAACAGCCTGGGCACCTCTACAAGTGGACTGTAGTTATAACATTCACAACCACTAGCGCAGGTATGTCAAAGGGATGTCTCCCTGGGCCGTCTTCACTGTGAACAGCCTGGGCCGTCTTCAAGTCACCCCTGTGCCCCTTGCGAAGTCTGATACAATCCGAAAATACCCATGACTGAGTGTACACACATGAACGGTTTGAACACACAACTGAGTGAAACATCGGGACGCTGAGGTTCCAGGGTTGGAGCACCTCTTCGGCAGGCAAAGCGAAACGAAAAAACTTGGAGAATCAGAGTGGCAAAAAGGGTTCCGAGGGATGCCAGATATTTTGGTGTCCTGCGAAGTTTGGTATGTTCTTTGGATAGACCGCCTTCGATCTTTGTTCTTTGCTGTTTCTGGACGTGGAAAGCTCTGGGATTTGCTCTAGGCAATCAGATTGAACCTGGCTATTGTTGAACAGTTTGGCCAGGGCTAAGCAAAAATCGTTAGAGTCCATCCTTGCCTTTGCCTTTGGCGCCCATCCGGTCCGAAGGGGCGTCGGGCTGAAAAAACCAAGTGCCCATGCACATCCCTGCCGTTGACAACCGACAGGTCCAGAGGTTTTGCTGAAAGCCCTCCGAACCTGCCTTGTTCAATACAAACACGTTGGCACGTAAAACGAAGCAAAAGATCTTGCGATTGCAAGCCTCCAGACTCCAATCGGGTCACTTGCTTCAGGAGAATGCCGGGTGTGCAATCACACCGGTCGAGCAAAAACAAGGAGCGCAGTCCCAATTTTGGGATAAAAGTCACCCCTTGCAAAGTGGGCCAAACGAAACACGGAAGCGAAGAGACTTCTGCCTGCCGTGATGAACAATCAGGGCTTCGCACTGGTCAAGAGGGCCACTGTCATGTTGGAAAACCTAGCAGTACCTTGGCCCTCAAAGCATCTCTGAAAAGGGTCAGGGTCTCGAGCCTTCATAAGTTGCTCCGTTGCCAATCAATCATTGTCAATGCCTGCATCCTCGAGGGATACGTCTTTCCCCCAAAAAACAACTGCGCGAACATTCGCGGGACGTATTTGACATCTCTCGGCAGGTCCCGAGGTCGTTGGCGATCCAGGCTTCTCTATCAAAGAAATTCCGCGCAGACTCTTCAACACATTGAGAATCAGAGTGGCAAAGGGGTTCCGAGATATGCCAGATATGTGTATGCCCTTTGTAGTTTCGGATGTTCTTTCGAGAGACCTTTGATTTGAGCAAATTGAAAACAAAAAGAATGAAAGAAAGGAATTTGACAAAGCACTTGCTGATTTTGGCCTCAGAATGAGTTGTCTAGAAATCGCTGGGTTTCTCCAGGCTTTGCCACCGGGTCTTTGTGCAGTTCTAGTGTTGGCATTTGGTGCAAATGCAAAGACGTGCTTGCCCAACGGGATTCCTGAGCAGAATCGACTCTATGTGTCGAATGCCACCGATCAACCGAGTCCTATCCGCTTCGTGACATATAACTGGGATTCCGCCCGGGTGATCAACCACGTGGCAGAGATTTTGGTCTCCGAAGTCTTGGGTTTCCATGTCTTACGAGATCCCGGCATCTTTTTCTGGGCGACCGATGGCATCTTGAAACTCGCAGGTTGTCATGACATGGCCTGTGCAGAGCCCAATGCAAATGCACCACGGGCAGATGTCTTGTTGGATACGTGGTTGGACACTGCGCTGTTGTTCTTTCACGAATTCCAAGCCAAAAATGGCCCGGTTGCTCCGGAAGACGTGGGTTCCATGGGTTACGAAGGAAGAGATGGACTGTATGTTACACAGGAAATCCGAAGGTTGGCTTTCGCTGACTCTGGCCTTCCCTTAGAATATTACACGAGCTACAACCTGTCCTTCCACGAACCTCAGAAATACTTTGACACAGTTTGGAGCTTGCCCACCACTTCTTTGTTGAACTGCACTGACACCTTCTATGGTCTACCCTTAGAATTCCGTGTGTCCAGCGCAATGCAGAATTATTTGCGGTGGACAGGAGACTCAGAAGGAGTCATCCAGCAGAATGGCGAATACTTTGCAAAGTGTTCAAGTGAACTACCTGCTTTTTGGATTGCGCCTTCATGCCGGCAGAATGTGTCACGATGCATCCCAGTGATTTGCCAGGGGCAGGGCAAGGCAGCATCTAGGCGGCATTTATGCGAGTGATCTCTGTTTTGTGTTCAAGATGTTTGTCTGAAATAGGTTCTATAGGACAAGAATCCTAGGCCTCAATCAGATAAAAATCAGGAAGTCTTCATGCACTGGGCGTCGGCCTACGGAATTCCTTTGGCAATTTCCCATCGGACAACTGCAAGTGCCTTCACGAACCTTGTGGACCAGTTCCGGTTTCTTTTTCAGTGGTATGAACCAGATACAACTCTCATCCACAAGGGGCCCACCCTGGTGATCCTGCCCGAGTACAGCCCCAGTGCCTGGGCTGCCGGAGACTTCCGGACAAGTGCAACTTCTTCGCACATCGCAAAGCTGGTTTCCCAAAGCCTGGAACTCTCTAGCCCAAGGGTGAGAAAGTTCATTGAGAACATGAAGATCGAACTGTCACAAGTGGTTGAGCTGATGGCACCCAATGGCATCTCGCAACACGATCCGGTGACTTTGCTCACCCCCAGTGATCTTCAATGGAATTCTGCCTGCAACTGGATCAAAGCCAACGGTCACCTTTGGCAGCAGTGGATTCCTGTAACGACAGACTGCGCCAGGGGTTTTGGCATCGTGAATGCCGATGCAACTCATGTTGCGCTTCGCAGCGAAGCTGTGGCCTGCGAGGTTTGTCCAGTCGGACGATTTTCCACCGTCCTCTCTGACGAGATCGGAACGACTTTCGTGTGTCGGGCGTGTGAAGCAGGTTGGCATCAGAGTGTTGCGGGGCAAACAAGTTGCTTGCCATGCAATCCGGGCAGCTTCACCGCTTTGACTGGGGAGGCACTTTGCTCTCCTTGTGAGCGAGGTAGTTATGGAATCTCTAGCGCAGCCACCAGCTGCTTGCCCTGTTCTAGCGGAGGGAACGAGCATTGGACAACAAGCAAGGAAGATGAAATGGACTTTAGATGGATAGAAGTGGAAGGAGCAACATCTCAAGATTTCTGTCACTGTCTTCCAGGATGGCATTTGTCCCCTGTCAGTGGAGATTGTGAACCTTGCATGGATGGATCTTCTTGTGTGGGCGGTGGAGTGTTGCAGCTGCTTCCAGGCTACTACTCTGCTAAGGGTCACTTGGAGGTGGTTAGAGTGACTAATTGAACAAGATAATAGACACCAATGTCAAGAAAGGCGGGAAACGTCCTAATGGTGTCATTTATTGACGGCCACGCACGCCATGCGAAAAATATCGAGAAACGATCGCCTTGTGATTTTGGGAGAAGACCCTGAAAACAAAAGTGCAGAGGTTCTTGTTTTCAAGAGCCGAGCCAAAGCCTAACAAAAAAATTGTGAACGTGTAAAAAACAACGACGGTGCCGTCGGTGCTTTGCTTTTCAGAATGGTGATGGAACCACGTTTTCACATGTTGTTTTTCTTGAACTTCCTTCACTCATTGACCAAAACTTCCACTTGGGTCGCCCCCAATCGATGTTCATGAACGGCGCCCTCGTGCCGTTCATGAACGCCGAGGCTTGGGGTGGCCAAGTGGAAAATGGCGATCACTCATTGTAAAACGATCGACTGCATTCAACAAGATTCAATGTAGAGATATCATAAGCACGCAGGAGCAGCCTAGTTGACTTTCAAAAAGCAGTCACTTGCAGCCACTCGAGCAGCCACCTGCAGTCAGACCAAAGGCCAAAGGGACCAAGTGACCGCCGGTAGTGCCGCTGGTATCCACCGACCACGCCCGCGAGTGACCGCATGCGGAGCCTTCTGACAGGAAAATTGCTCCAGCGTGCGGAAGATATGTTGCACCTTCTTAGCCACAGCTTGAAAGATGCTGAAACTCCTGAAGCGCAGTCAACGGGGTCGCAAGTGGCTGCGTTCAGTGAGACAGCCACAGCCCTTGCTTTTTTTTTGCCATCACGCAAACGATTATGCATGCACCAGGCCACGGCATGCACAACTTCAAACGGAACAAGACAACTGGAAACCAGGAGGGTCGAAACAGAAAGGACAACAAAGAGGGATGACTTGAGACGGAAAGAGAGGACTTACAACGAGAAAGGATAGCTCAAAAGGGAAAGAAACGGCTTGAAACCAAAAAGGGACGACATGGTTCGCGAAAATGGATGAACTGAAACGGAAAGGGTCGACTTGAAACAAATTGCAACAGAAAGGCATGCCGGCATGCAAACATTGCGGTCACTTGTTGTGAGATCCAGACAAGAGCGGCGATTGGGGTCACTTGCAGGCACTTGCATACACTGGGAACTCAATGTCTATGCTGCCCGTTGGGCATGCGTGACCACAAGTGACTGCTGCAGGATGTAACCGCCGGTGGCCGCAAGCGACTGCTGGAGCAAGCGAAAGCAAGCGCCCACAAGTAGTCACTGTCGTCAAAATTAACAAGAACACATCATTTGCACAAATTGTATATATGCTTAAAACAAATGGCTTGCTGCAACACCATGACACTACAACCGTGACTCAATGGCGCCTCTCAAGCTCCAGGTATATGCGGGGGGCTGCCGTGCTTGAAGCTCTTGCTACCTTCTCCTCCCTTTCTTCCACCTTGGCCTGTCCTGCTCACTGTCACTCCTCGATCTTCTTGCCACTCATTGCAGGCCTCTCTATAGGTCTGGTTCTTGGCATTGCTCTTGGTCTTTGGGCCTCTTGGATTCTTCTTAGACTTCACTCTCAGGCCCTGCATCCCCAACCTCCGGTGGTGGACGACAGGGTCAGGAGGAGGACCTCGAACAGATTGCAAGGCTATTTGCATGAGTGAGCAAGAATCTCTACGCCGTGACCTTCGTGACCTGGCCGCGGCTGTTCGTGAGTTGACATTGACCATGAGGAGCCGAGAGCTCTCAGGGGCGGAAGTGCGAGAAGATAGCGCTGAGCCAGCTAGGGCATCCTCTACCACTTCAGGTGGTTCCCATTGGGAGTTGGTTGAGAACGGGAAGGCCATTCCACGGGCACCTGCCCGCTTTTTGGTGAGGGACGCTCTCTTTAGTTTTGAGGAAGGGCCTCCTGAGGTTCCACAATTCTGTGTTGACTCTGCCAAACGTCATTTGACCTCGGCACGTGCAGATCCTGAAGAGAGAGCAAGGGCAGCTTTCGTCGCTGGCCATTGGGCCCGTGCTTTTTGGGTCTCAAGAGCCCCATACAGGAGCGCCTACCGTCCAGATCTCCCAGCAGCTTTTTGGATCTTGCAGAAGGGCCCAGGATTTGATCTAGTGAAGACTACCAGCCAGCGAGACTCAGATCTTTTTGAGCGAGAGTTTCCTGAGGTGAAGTTCATTGAGAAGGTGCCTTCGTTGACTGAGCTCCACATTTTCTGTGCGGGCGCCAAGGTCCCAGTTCCGCCCTTGTGGCGATGGACCGGCAGCAAATAGTTTTCGCTTCAGAAGCTTCAGATCCTTCCCTGCTCATTTTGTCAGTTCCTTCATCGCACAGTTCGACAGGGGATGAGATCCAAGGATTTTGCACGCCGCTTGATGCACGTAGAGGTGGCCTACTCCTGGCACTTCCCTGTGGTTTGCTCAGAGAGGACGTTCTTCACCCTCCTGGTGGATTCACAGAGGAAGATTTGGTGGGGCCATCAAATGAATTCGAGGTTGACATGATAGAGGAGGATGAACTTGGGAATGCTTTTGCTTCTGGTTTCAATTGTTCCATCCTCGTGGCAGATTTCACGAATAGTGCCCTTGGGCTTTTGAGAGAGTATGATCCCGTGACGGACTCCACGACAGAGATTGTTTCTTTTGTGGATGGCTCACCATCTGCGATGCCTTCTGCTCCTGAACTGCTTACGTTGGCTTTGTCCTGGGCACACTCAGCAGATGGCAGAATCCATTTTTACAGTGCTCGAGAAGAGCCGCCAGCATCCAAACCCGCCGCTCCGAAGAAGGCCGGTGTCAAAAGAGTGACCACAGCAATCCTGGCCGAGCAGCTCAATGCACTCTCAGCTCAGGTAGCTCTTTTGGCTTCAGAGAGGGAAGAACAAAACAAGCAGCCGGTCCCTCCTCTCCCCACCAGACCGCAGGCCTTTGTCGATCCTGCTACAGGGCGAGGAGATTTGGGACCAGCAGTTGCTCAGCGCAAAATGCCCCCTCTTTCACAGGGTCTTGCCACTCCAGCCAGAACCACCCCGGCCAAAGCACTCCAGCTGTTGGGGCCCCCTCCAAAGACCAGGATGTCTCCCCTTTCCATGGCAGTTTTGGCAGACGAGCCCCGGACCCTTTGAGACCCCCACCAGCCCTACAGAGCAGGCCCTGACCCAGCAGTCGGCAGCCTTAACAGCATTGGTGTCTCATCTCATTCAGGGCAACGAAGACCCGTCCAGCAGCTCCGGAGTTTGTTCGAGTTCTACAAAAGGCACGCAAAAGCGAGCGCAACTGCAGCATGCTCTGGCCGTAGGCCAGTCCAACTTCTTCATGATGCTCCAGCAACAGTTGTGCAGGAGATTGCAACCATCCAACACGGTTCCCAAGACAGAAGAGGAGCTCAATGCCCGAGCTCCCTCTCTGCTGACTTACCTCGAAAGGTATGGTGGCTTCAAAGGGCAGAAAGAGGCGGGTCTCATGATGTGGGTGATCGGGCACGCAGTCGATGCGGCAGCTCGGGGCGATTTTCATGCAACCCGAGAGTTTTTAGCGTTGGCAGTTATGGGACTAGAGCAGTCTGCCTTCGATGCGGGAAACTGGGACTTAGCATTCGTCCTGACTTTGACAGGAGATCCGCCAACGGCCTTGTTCCAAGATCGGATGACATCAATGACATCTTCAGCCAGTCCTTTCTCACCATTGATCCCATCCAACTAGCAAGCATTTCATTGGCCTATTTGAAGGAGATCGACTTGCTTCAGAACAGGAGGCAGGAGACAAGGGTGAAGAAGGGCCAACAGCAGAAGGAGGAGGAGGGATCTCCGAGCCCTCGCCGGAAGCCAAAGTTTCCAAAAAGGCCAAAAGCCATCGCGGATGGCCAGGCCTGAAAATACCAGAGCATACAGAATGCAGCCCTGTTCCGATGTGGACAGGCACCCTGTGCAAGTCTGTTCCGGAAGGGACCTGCCTGGCTCCTGCTTGCCTTCTTTGAAGGTCGGTGGTGAGCCTACAAGGCCTTCCAGCTCCCCATTGCCTGGGACCAATCCCTGGACGGATTCTTTCTCTCCTGAGGAGAGGGCTGAGGCCGGGTCGAGCCAGTTTGGTGTGAGCATATCCAGACAAGTGAGCTATTCATCGTGGCTTTCAAAGCTTACTAAACTGGTGCTACGTGCGAGGAGCCCTTTTTCGGCATTTTTGGCTTTTTCCATCCAAGTTTCTATGCAGTCCGCTCCTCGGCCTGCAAGGACACCGCCTTTGTTCCCTGTGCCGATCCCTTCCTTGGGGGTCTTTAGCAGGATGCCCGATGGCCTTTCTAGCGCTCGACGAAGATCGAGGCATCTATCAAGGGCCCTCCATGTTTGTTGTATGGCATTAAACTTTTGGTATGGTGGAGGTGTCTCCTGTGAGAAAGAGCTTCTTCGGAGGGAGCCAAATTACCCTGCTCATCGCCGACTATACAGCAGATTGCGCTCCTTCATCAAGGCGGACGGCCTGTTATTGAAGTTTGACATGCTTCGTGCGGGCCGACGACATCCAGAATTAGTTGCAAGACTTTCTGAGTTGACGTCTCTTCTTGTGAAGTTGGGATGTTCAACTTCGCCCTACGACAAGGCTTATGTGGGCTATGAGGTCTCAGCCGACAACTCAGTGCTTCCAGAGCTGGAGCCTTATCGGGACCTAGATCCCTCCAGGCTTAATTTCTGGTGCTGGTCAATGGGACGTCACTTCCTATTTGCCAGACCAGCTGGTTATGGCTTATCGAGAGCCGGCTTCTATCTGGATTGACCGAGTTCCAGAGGTTTGGGAGTATCCTCAGATCCGGGATCCTCCGGAGACCGTTTGCCAGCTAGCAAAGTTGTGGGACATCCATGGACTTCTTTTCCTCCATCATGAGAAGGTGATTGAGAGACCATCTTTTGAACTGGTCAGGGTATTCAACTGCTACAAGTCAGCCGAGATCGACAGACAAATCGGAGACAGGAGAGGTCGTAACAGTGTGGAATGCAAAGTTGATGGCCCTTCTTCAGACCTACCGGCAGGGCCAGACATCTGTGACTTGGCCATAGACTTGAAGACGCAGAGATTGGCTCTTTCGGTTTCTGATCGAAGAGATTTTTATCATCAAATCTGGGTGACGCAGGCTCGTGCAGTCTCCAACACTTTGGGGCCTGGTTTGCCGACGGATTGGTTGAAGGACACTGAGGCTTATGGCCATCTCCTCCTTCGTGATGCAGTGAAGACTCATGGAGACAGACTTGGAGTGGAAAAGCCAGCTATTGCTCGCAAGCATCCTGTGCTTTGGGTTGCCTTCAAGAGCGTTTTGCAAGGAGACCATGCAGGTGTGGAGATTGCTACAGATGCTCATTCCAACTTACTCCAATCCTTTGGTTTGCTGGACGCGGACACTCGGATGAGGGCATCTTCACCCTGTTTTAGCAATCACTTGGTCGAAGGGCTGGTTATTGATGACTACTTCGCAATTTCTGTCGACCCAAAAGGTACAACGGATGATCAGACGTTGTCAGCAAAAGCCTATGACAAAGCTCACGATGCCTATGGTCATGCCCGCCTTCAGGGCTCTCCTGAGAAGGACGTGAAAGGGGCGCAAGAAGGGAAAGCAATTGGTGCCTATGTGAACAGTAGCGATAGAGCCATTGCTGCAGGAGTGTGTACAATTGGAGCCCCTCCTGAGAAGAGGTTAGCTTTGTCAGCATTGACTTTGGAGCTTTGTTCTACGCCCTACACTACTGTTTCTCTTCATCGGTGCCTTCTTGGTGCATGGGTTTCTACCCTTCTTTTTCGGTGCCCCATGATGTGTCTTCTGAATGAGAGCTTTAGATTGGTTGCAGCCTATGAGGACCTGCCAGATTTTGCTATGGATCCCCTTGCCTAGAGCAGTCGCTACAGAGTTGTTGTTGGTTGCGACTTTGGCTCCAATGATTGTGACCGATATTGCAACGCCCTTGTCAGAAGTATTGTATGCGACCGACGCTTCTGAAGAGAGGGGGGCGATCATTTCTACACCTGTTTCAAGAGAGACTACACTACTGCTGGCAAAGTGCTTCAAGACGAAAGGAGCATATACTCGCCGCCTACAGAGTGGTTGGTCTCGTTTGATGCAGAAGGTTGTCATTGCCGAGGACTTGCCTGAAGAAGAAGTGCTATGTTCTCCAACAAGGCCGCTTGCGTTTTCTTTTGAATTTATAGAAGTATTCGCTGGGTCTTCCAAGGTGACAAAAGCACTCAGTGCGTTGGGGGTGAAGTGTGGCCCGCCATTGGATATTAGCAAGTTGGAGGAATACAATCTGGCTGCAGTTCACGTCTTAGCATGGCTCTTTCATTTGGTAGAGCGGGGCTCGCTGCGCGCGTTCATGTTGGAGCCTCCCTGCACCTCTTTTTCTATCATGCGGCGACCTCCTCTACGATCTGTTTCCAAGCCCTACGGCTTCAATGTCCAGGATCGACAGACCAGAGATGGAAACATTCTCACGCTGAGGTCTCTACAGTTGATGAAGAAGGCTCAGGTGCATAGAGTGATTGGCCTCCTTGAACGACCTTTTTCAGCCAAGACAAAGCATCTCCCTCCTTATCAGGCGTTGATGAAATGCCTGGAGTCAGTGAGATACGTGCAGATTCGTGTCAGTTTGGGTCAATCCACCAGAAGTCTCCACAACATATCAATCTCTTGGAGCTCAAGTCAGTTGAAAGGCTTGTAGAGAAGAAGGCAAAGCAGGGTTCACTTCGTTTTGCCTGTCTGGTCGACTCCAATGTACCCAGAGGAGCTTTGGGGAAATGCCGCTCAGCTTCCTTGGCAATTTCAAACGTGCTCAGACGAATCTCTGCCATGTTGGTTGCTTTCGGGCTTTATATGGTCAACCCCTTTTGCCCTACACGACTCAATGCCGCGGATGATCCTACTCGACACAGGGATTTGAGAGATCCTGTGCCGGGTTTACAATGGAGAGGATTGTCTCCTGAAAAGCTTTGGGCTATTGCACAACTTCCACGTGCTCGTCGATGGGCATCTAACTGGATTAGGTTGATCCTACTCCTTTGTGGACCTGATATCCATCAGTGGTCTGATCGTTCTCGTCTTCGTTTCTCTCGAACTGGAGATCCAGTACTATTCCAACCGCATGGGGCCGCTTTGCCCTGTCCGGATTTTGTCTTCGAGTCGTCGCACTTTGATTCCACCCTTGGATTCCCAGGTGAAGGCCCTTGCATTGGGGTAGTCTTTGGTCTTCTTCTCATCTCGTTTTGGACTCCGGGCTTGGATTGGGCCTTTATCTCATTTGCTCTCTCTTTTGCCCTTTGCTTTCCTCTTTCCCTCCGGTGTGCCTCCTTCTTGACTTGCTCCCCCCCGGGCTGCTTTGTGCTGTAGTCGGTAGTGCCCTTTATTTACCCGGCGCCGGTGCCATGGAACCTCAAACTGCTGCAGAGATCAACAGAGCACGCCTTCGGTCGTTGAGGCCGGGGCTTCCTGAAGGTAGGCCCACTCTCAAAAAAAGAACCAACAAGCTAAGGGACAAGTACTGGCCCGTGTTTTTGCAATGGTTGAGCAATGAGGGCATTGATTTCGAACGTCTTTTGGAGCAACATGTATTTTATGTGGATGAGATTAACATCGTCTTGACACGTTTTGGAAGAGCTTTGTATCGTGCTGGTCGCCCATACAACCAGTACGCCGAGACTACAAATTCCTTGACTACTAGGAAACCTGCGCTGCGTAGGCAAATGCAAGGGTCATGGGACCTTGCTTATTCATGGGTAGCTGCTGAACCTTCCTGCCATCATGTGGCTATGCCTTGGCAGGTTTTGTTGGCTATGGTAACTACTTGCTTACTCTGGGGATGGGTACCCCTAGCCGGAATCTTAAGTCTTGGCTTTGGTTCTCTCCTTCGTGCCGGCGAGTTGTTGTCAGCAACCAGGGCAAATCTGTTGCTACCCCAAGATGTTGAAGAGACGATACATTTTTGTAGCCTAAGACAAAACATTCAGGTGCTCGACACCAAGCTGCAAAACTTGAGGTGCCTGATTTGATACAGGTTGTCAACCTTGCCTTTGTTAAGTTTCCTGCTCATGCACGACTTTGGGCATGGTCAGGGCAAACACTTCGACAGAGGTTTAAGGATGTGCTGTCGGCTCTTTCTTTGCCTACAGAGCGGCACGGAGACCTCAAAGCTTTAGACTTGGGTTCACTCCGCGCAGGCGGAGCGACGTGGCACTTGATGATGACAGAAAATAGTGAATACACACGCCGGAAAGGCCGTTGGCTGAGTTCACGTGTGATGGAGATATATGTTCAAGAGACAGCGGCTCTCTTGTTCTCGAAAAGAGTCCCAGCTGACACCAAAGAAAAGGTTTTGGCAATTGCAGGCCTTTTTCCACGTGTTTTGGCAACTGCTTTACGGTTTGAACAATTGCAGCTTCCACACCACGTGTGGCCTGTTCTCTTTCGCCAGGAAGAGCTTTGAGAGTATGGGAGTGATGGGCATGGCTGTTGATGGCCTTGATGGCCCTACTTGGCAACAGCTTGTGAACATGAGCTGGATGGAAAAAGAGCGCCAGCAGTTGAACTGTTGACACTACAACCGTGACTCAATGGCGCCTCTCAAGCTCTACCCGCCCTTGCAACCCTCCCTCACCTGGCGAACGAGGGGCATGGCTGTTGATGGCCTTGATGGCCCTACTTGGCAACAGCTTGTGAACATGAGCTGGATGGAAAAAGAGCGCCAGCAGTTGAACTGTTATATACTTTTGATTAGTTTTGTGTATATATAATCAACGAAACACCCAAAGCGACACAGAGACCTGCCTTGAGGTTCACCAGGTTCGGTACTCCGTTGCTTCGGTGATGCAGCTCGCTGCCCTGGCGGAGATCCGGGGACCTGTGCGGCGGGGAGGGATAGCTCCTCACCCAGTTGCAGCTTGTGCTTGCCAGGTTTGCAACCCAACGGCGCCTTAGATGGAACAAACTTATCCTTTCTGTTAGAAGCGTGCAATCCCCTAAAGAAATAATATGTATATATTCTAATATATGGCTTTGGCGGTTTTGGGTTCAAGGGTATGTATGGTTTTTCAACTGTTCTGTGATTCATGTCCACTTCAGCTCTGGGTCAACATGTCCAAAAAACATCCCAAGGCATCCAGTTCAGAAATGAATGGCTCGAGCAGATCCGGTCACGACTTAAGTGCTTGATGACCTTCCGTCATGCACACACAAATATTGTGGTCTAGTCTTTTGTCAGGGTGGCCCTGTCAGTTTTGCCTTGAGAAGACTTTGTAGAAGTGCTTTGAAGTTTTTCAAGCGTGCTCAGTACCCAGGTCCAGGCTGTGTCGAATGCACTGGAGGAGACTATGTCACTTGAACTTAACTTTAGATGTGTTTCGCCTTCGCAACAGTTTGCAACTCTTTCGTTGGTTCATGGGTTCACGAATGGATCTGGCTTTGTTTGGCTCGGCTCCTTGGTTTTGGAAATCAATTTGTTTCGAAGGAAAACATTTGTCAGGCTCAGCTAATATTCTTGGGGCTGCTGATTTTGACTCTCACGGGGCTCTCGCACATCGTGATTGCATTGCAGCATCAGAGCAGTGGTGTGCTGCATTTCCGACTCTTGGCCTTGGCCTTGTGCATGAATCAACTCATCACTTGCTCTCAACTCTTCTCCGTGATGGAGCAAGTGCAGGGGATCGTCTTGGAAGAACCTTTCGTGACTTGGACCCTCGAGAAGACCAGATGAATCAACCGTTTTCATCAGACAATACAGTTCTTCACAGATATGCATGAGGTCGGAAACCAAGCCCACTCGAGAGGTGTGCACCGTTCCAATGTGCTTCGCGAGAATCTTGGTGTTTGTTTTGAACGAAACCACATGTCCAGTGAACAGTTTTTAACGATTCCCTGGTTTGGTTCAATCAGCCGACAGACTGACCTGAGGTGAGTTTTCTCGAATTCTTCTCATTTCTATCGTTGGAGGCAGTCCTTGGCTCGGTGCGAAGCATCAGCTGTGTCACTCGTGTCAGTGCAGAAGTGAACTTGCTGATCCGGACGTTGTTGATACCATGTTTCTTCGCTCTTGGGCCTTTGGTGGCGCAAGTGGTACTTCGAGCCATTCTTGCCGTCCCCAAGATCACTTTGCCAAAGACCTTTGGCTTTCTCTCCTTGCTCTTCTACATCACCCTCTCCTCAACATTTGTCGAGCCATTTCGCTGCAATTTGCATCCCAACGGCTTGCGAACCCTACAGACGCGGCATGAGGTCTTTTGCAACTTCTCAGGAACTCATCTGAACATGTGCGTGATTAGCTTTGTGGTGTGTATTCCACCAGTGGGTTTCCTCGCCTTGTGCTCCTATGTCTTGTTGGTGATGTTCCCACGTCGTGTCAATGACGCGGATGCTCACTTTGTGCGAACTTGCTCGTTCTTGATCACACGCTTCAAGCCCGGCTGCGAGAACTTCACCATCGTTTTCCTGTTCCGAAACCTGATGTTCGTTCTTGCACCGATGATGCCTGCATCAGGCACGTTGAATGACAAGCAGCAGTTCATACGTTCATTTATTCAATGATTTTTCACGTTTCTTCCATTTCGAAAGGTTGCCTCTTTGTGATGGGTATCTTGTTGGTGACGAGCATCATATTGGTCGCCTACTTTCAGCCTTGGCGTTCTTCGGTGGCTTCGCAGCTCGACATAGTCGTCCAACTGATGCTCTTGATGATCTTGTTGCTGAACTCCCTCACAGTGCAAGATGTGAATGTGCAGCTCATCATGATCCTTTGCACACTTTGTGCCTCTTCACTGATATTTGGTATTCTGGCGACCACGGTATACTTCCTGGTGCAATTTGTTGCGTCCAAGTTCCGCAAGAGGTTTGCCTTCTTCTTGTGTCATCAAAGGGGGTCCCTTCAACTTGAGTTGAGATATGTTTCTTTTCGAAAAAAATATATATATATATGTCTTTTTTAAATGTTGTTCAAGTCACAGTGTTTCCTTTGTGTAATGAATGGTCTGAAATAAAAGCTTGGCTAGCCTCGAAGTGGAATCAGTGGAGTCCAGACATGTTTTTTGTGCAACTCGAGGTCGAGCTCTGGCTTTGTGCGACTCCTCAAGATGGAGCTGAAGAACAAAGGGTGTTCCTCTTTCGTGGATGCTGACAACCTCACTGATCTATCGCAGCTCTTCCGCTTTGCGACTTGGAGGTTTGGAAAGGACGAGACATGGTCACTGCTCATCCCAAATCATCCAAAATCGGATATCCTTTGAGGAACAGTAGGGAAAAGTTGATTTGGAACCATAAGTAGAATAGTATCATGAAATATGTCCTGTATACAATAGTCTCAGATGTGTTATTGATTTCATTGGTTCTCATCTGAACTGTGTTTGTTGGACCTGAAATTCATGGACTCCATGACATGTGAGCGGACCTTTGGCTCAGCTTTTCGCACATCCGATGCCCCTGATTTCCCAAGATGGCCAATTGAGCCATTTGTTTCATCTGCGCTTGAGCATCGCACGATGGGCTGTTTCGAGTCGGCCGCGCAAATCGAGAAGTTGCTACGCACGAACTTTGTCGTGTTGGTAGCGGGCAGGTGCTAACACCTCCGTCAGAGCCTTGTCGAGCCAGGACCTTGCTGGATGTGCCTTTGATGTCACTATGACAGGCTTGGCTTCTTGGCAGCCGTTGGACGATGGCAGTGCTTGCAATGAGAGAGCTATGAGTATGAGAGTGCAGAGTCCAGCTCATGGCTGCCAGCTCGAGACGACATCCATCATCGTCCACGGGGCTCTTGAAGTACCTCCGGGTCACACCCTATTTCCTTTTCATGGCAACAGGTGCACAAAGCCCCATGGCCCTAAAGTATCTCCTGATCTTGAAGTATTACCAGGCTCTCAAGTCCGACGAAGTGGCCAAGGAGCCGGAAGGACAAAGATTCACGAAGCGGATCTAGAGCAGGCAGCACTGGCCAATGCGCGCAGGCAAAGGCAAGCCCATGTCATGGACTATGTCACGGGCACCCAGATGCAGAGACGCCTGAGGCTGAGGAGGTTGAGGGCGACCATGCGCAAGAGCCCAATGAAGATGAAGAAGCAGCGGATGACTTCAATGAAGGCAAGGATGATGACGATGGCCTTCAAAGGTGATCCAATGCCTCACTGACGGTTCGCAGACTTCAGGGTCTCACAGTTGGTCGGAAGTACACCGCAAGCGGTCCATCCAGGATCGCAAAAGAACCGGTGCAGTCTGTGAAGGTGGTCACTGGAAAGGAGATCCAAAATGCCCAGAAGGCGCAATTCCGATCGATGGACAGCATTGATTTGTTTCCAGCGCAAGTTCGAATTTCAGAAGTTTGGAAGCAGTTGAGCCAAGACGATGCTTGGCAAGACCCCTCACTCTGAGTTGATGCTTGTTTGCAGCAATCTCTGACCATCAAGGAGGTTGCAAGCATGGCAGTGGCTGGCCCTGCCGTTCCCAAACCCTGCAGGACCTTGCCATACAACCCAGCAAGCGTCCGGCGCAGATCATTCAGCGAAGCGGCAACAAGCGCGGTCGGTATGCAAAACGCAGGCAGCCCTGGGACGAAGCGCCTTTTGGAAAGCCTTTGTTACTGCCCTTGCCCCCCGGAGAATTCCTTGGTGATTATGATGCCCCCTTCCACCGCCCGCAACCAAGGCACAAGCAGTCACGGACAAGCCATCGGATCCCAGTGACGAGCACATCGGCGCCCTCATGTGCGGTGGCCCTGCGTGACACCTCTGCTGATGGGAGCAAGAGCGAAGTCCAAGCCGTGCTTCAACAGTCGCTCGAGCGGGGGACTCGGACGAGGAGTACTGTTGGGGTCCGGTTTGCTTCGGCGTTATGAATGGGAATGCAACAGGTCGCTCGTTCAGGACGTTGCGCCGTCGCTGCCTGGCAACAAAGAATGCATCCTCGGCAACTTGGACGTGTGACGTGAGCAGGATTCCGAAGTCGAGCTTCTTGGCAGCGTAGGGAAGGCGTCAACGCCCTCGGCTCCGTACGCGCAGCATTGCGCACGCTAGTGTTCACATTCAAATTCACGAGGAGAGGATGGCAGGCTTTTCCAAGCCTAGGCCTCAAAACATCCTGACCCAGACTTCAGTAAAAGTGTAGCATCTCTCGCTCCTCCAACTCCTGCAAGCGGCGCAGCCAGTTCACGTTCCCATTGCGCTCCAAAGTCGGCGTGGCTACGTCGCACGCAAAAGAAGAGGTTGGCGCTGCGCAACACATGCTGAACTGTGTCCGATGACAGGTCGAGTATTGAAGGTCAAAGGGCTGCAGTGGCTTTGAGGTCAAACGAAACGCAGTCGAAGTCAAAGGCGCTGCTCCCAAAAAAAAGTTCGAGCTTGCCGCCAACAGAACTGAACGCGCCACGGCCAGCTCCCAGGTGATCCAACAACAGTAGCCGACTTTGACTAGAGACAGTCAGGTCACCATCAATTGCAGCACTCCCACGGCTGCGATTGCTTTTACCTCGACAGTGCCCAGATGACCATCACGATGGACAAAATGTGTGTTGACAAGTGTATCCTGGCCATCCAGAAGAAGTTGGGTGGATGGAGGAGTGAGGGCAAGGGGATCTTCAAGGATCGCATTCTGCGACGGAGACTGCTTCGCTTTCGGATGGCCAAGTTGGAGGCCTATAGCGGCCAAGGGGCGATGTGTGC